GACTCAATTAGTGGTCCGATTGAACTGAAACTTTGAAGACAGGTTCACGACTCAAGTATCTCAAATCTGAAGGGTGGGGATCGGCTTTGGTTGACAGTGTCGGGAAATATGGGTCCGTGAACAATTACCTTGTTTTGGTGAGATTTCTCCTTTATCTTGAGATTGTTGTTAGTTTTAGGGACAATTTAACTACCTAGACAACAAAGAAAATGGGCGCGAAAATATTTTTGGGTTTAATATTCTTATCCATATTCTCAAACATATTTTTATAATATTTGTTTGTTTAATTATTTAGAAAATATTAGTATATTTTTTTAATTACTTTTAGACCTCTTAAGTTTATTAACTTCATTAAATATTCCAAAAAAAAAAATTAAAAATTAATAAAAACACTCCCACCCACCCATAGTTACCAGAATCTGGCAACCACCGTCGGTGATAGTCAGAATCTGTCACAACAGCCTACAAACGATCGAAACTGGCCAGTAATTCACCAATCTGGCCTTTTCTGACCATTTGGCCATCAGCGACAGCCAAAGAAATGGTCATCGTTGTCCAACAACGACGGCCAGATCTGGACTTTTGCAGTCATCGACGGCCAGATCAGCCGTAGATCTGGCCTTTTCTGGCTAGATTCGTGGTGGATCTGGCCAGAAAATGTCAAATCGACGCCCTACCCACCAGATCCGACCGGTCTACGTCGTAATGCTATTTTTCAGCCAGATTCCGACGGTAGTAGCCGAAATCTAGCATTATGGGTGGGTGGGGGTATTTTTGTCATTTTACAAAAATTTTATATACTGGGGTGTTTAGTTAAATTAGCAAACCTAGGGGGTATTTTTGTTAATTTTTAAATTTTACCTCGTAATACTCACCCTATTCAACTACCCAATATTATTTCTAAAATCCTATCCAAAATAATAAAACAAACGGACCCTTGATTTTTTTCTTTCAGTTTGAATTTCTGACGTGGCATACTTAATTTCAACTAAAACAGCAAAAATGGCTTAAATGTTATAGAATTAGAAGTTTAGGGTTAAAATTAACGACCAAAATATTAATATGTTTTTGTTGTTATTTTTTTGTATTATATGTGTTTTAAATCTAATATGGATTATTTTTTTACAAATTCTTGATTGGAGTTGTTGTACGGAGAATCTGCACCAAGCCCTCGCCCAATAGCCAAACAACATTATCCAATGCATTTGCTTCACATTCAAGACACAGTATACCCTTTTCACCTTTGCCCAACTATTGTCATATTTGGGCCTCTCTCCCCTGACATACTGAAATATCCTGTCATCAAACAAATAATCTGCAATGACACCTTTAAAATCCTCTGTGAGCATTATTTTTTGTTTGGCTCCTCTTTTTGCTACTTCATCATTCGCCTGTTTCATTAAGGCATGATATTGGCTTCTAGGCTCTGGCCGAAAGACACATCAGTTATGGCACATTACTAATCATAGATATTAGCATAAATAGTTTGTCTCATCATTATAAGTGTCAACACATCATCAATGTGCTGCATCAATCAATCAATCTTGTTCTCTACAAGCGATCTGTTTAGAAAAAATAGATTGCTTAAGCGATAACAGGATACGTTATGGAAAAAATAAGTCACCGAGTCGTGAACCCAACAACCCATTCTTAGCATCTTATCAAACCATTTCTGAGGATAATCTTCGATCTTGCACTTGATCCATATGTAAATTATTTCATTATTGTAATACACATAAAATGATTTCTTCTTTTTCTCGTCTATTGGCTTGAATAAATCAACCTTTAACCCCTTTATTTTTTTCACCACTTCCACCTACTTCCTCACTTCGATCAACTTTCTCCTTATCATCCTCTCCAACTCCCTCTTTGTCTTTCCTAGTTTTCCTTCTCTTATTNGAAAGGAAAAACAACCATTTTTTAATTTACGTTTATTACATCGACTCCTTAAAAGCACAACAATTTATGAATTAACTGTAACAAAGATCTTGTTACTTTTATTTAAAATTAACTATTCAGAGAACAGTGCTATAAATGATTAAAATAGAAATTATAATAACAATCCCTGACGGGGCGATTCTCTTAACATAAGATATGTGTCAGTTATATGGCTTTTAAAATAGAGTTTTGCTAAGATGTGAAATTGTGAATTATGATTTCTGTCACCTTTCCCTAGCAATTTACAGTGTAATCAACAATTTGTTGAATTAAAATTCGTATGGTAGTAGTAGCTATACCTGCAAATTTCTGGTATTTTACTTGGATCAAAATGGTTGGAAGCTAAAGTAGAAATAGTCAAAGCATCCCTCCAATTAGCTGTTCGTGACTGATACAGATCTAAATTGCTGTAGAATCTAACGTCTCTCTTTGGGTCACGAGAATATAACCCTTTCTTCACCTCATGGTCCTCGTCATGAAATTTTCGTGCCCCATCAAGCACTTTATCTAACACATCTAAGGGAATCCCATGATTCACGACCTGAAAATAGCCCCATGTCTCAGATGCAGCTCGGACCTGTTCAACAATCTCCTCTAGCCTTTCGTCTCTGATGCCATCAAGATCTACAACTGGTACTTGAAAGTTGTTCTGATGAGTGGTCAACTCCTCAGCTAGCTCATCATCAGGTCGAATGAATATCCTGGGAATTTTCACAATCCCAGATCTACTAATCCTTTAACTCCAGCTTTTGTGTTATCAAAACTCTTAAGCCCTTCAGCTCTGTCATAATCTGATGGTTTACTGGCATCCGAGATGTCCATCTTCTGTTTCATTCATACAAGAAAAATGATGAGAATGAAGATAATAATAGTGAAGTTCATTGACTATCACTGATGTTTATATAAACATTATTACTTCATGTTATCTTCTAAAGTCGAGTAATGAATAATTAAATTGTTAGCTTATTTATCACATGGTATCAATCAGTCTAGTACAGTTTGCTTGATTATTCCGAATTATGTCACATGCGTATTAATTTATTGGCAGGTTCCAAAAGTGTGTCCCATATCTCTTCTTATCAACTTAAATGCTTGCTCTTGCGTATTTACCCATCTCAATATTCAATCCAATAGTGTAACAATTTCAGAAAGAATCAGACACAGATTATAGAGAATACCCCACAATGACTACCTATTTTCTTGGCTGTCATGAGTAGTCCCTTGGAAATTACTTCATCTGCTAAGCAAACGTCCATGGGTTCTGGAAGGACTCCAGAACAACACTCATATGTCAATTGTTTGTACAACATTTGAAAACTTCATTCAATTAGTCGATCTTGACAGCTCCAATTGATAAAGCACAGACTTATCAGCAGCTGCCCTTGAAAAATGAGCTAAAGTATTCATTAAAAGAAAACCTCTGTAAATAGGTGGGTTTTCTTCTCATGTCAATTCTTTGATGGGCCCAAGAGCTTTGGCGTCGCAGTAGCATGTCCTGTGAGAAAGCATGCCACGGAAACCCTACCAATACCGATGGAGACGACTCCATGGTCTACACTTTTAAACTTGTTTGATATAACTGTTGGGATAGTGCCTTAAATCTCATATTGCTTGCGAATTCTCCCGTTTAAATAAATTATAATATTGAGCTTTAAAGTATTTTAAAAAGTGTAAGATAGACACTAAAAGGATAATAATTGTAGGTTATTATTAAAGGTGTAATTGAGTTTTTTTGGGATAGTGTACGAAGTTTGTAATTTTTTCACTTCTAAAAATTGCATAGTTGTAAGTTTTTACTTGGTGGATTATTTGAGTGGATAGTTAAAGTAAGCTAAATTGATTGGACCAAACCACTTTAAAATTCTTTTATTTTGATTTTCTTTATTTTTTAGTTGCTTGCCTCAATTTTGCATTTGAGTTGTGCGAATTTTTTTCAACAAGGGGTACTGGGAGAAGGCAAGCTCGAGAGGAGGCCGGATTTAAGAATAGATTGGCGATTATCAAGTATCTCAAATTTCTTAGAGGTATGTCTAAGTTTGAGGTTCATTTATTTGATGGTAAAATTAATTTTATGTTATACCAAAGTATGATACAAGACCTTTTGGTACAATAAGGTATTGATCAGGCATTAGAAGAGAGTAAGTAAGAGAAGATGTCTAATAGAGAATGGAATAGAATTCAAAGGAGAGTTGTCAGTACTGAGTACAATTAGATTGACCTTAGTTCTAAAGATAAAATATAGCGTGCTGACTGAGTCTACACCAAAGGGTTTGTGGAAAAAATTAGAGGGTATTTATGCGTCAAAATCGTTGAATAACAGATTGTGTTTAAAGATGGATCTGTATTCTCTGAAGATGGATGAAGGTACGAGTCTCCATGATCATTTAAATGAATTTAATAGGCTAGTATCGCAATTGTTGGCTATTTCTGATGAGTTAAAGGATGAAGAAAATGCATTGATATTGTTGTCATCTTTCCTTAAATATTATAGACCTTTAGTTCAAACTTTGTTGATAGTCATATCTACTTTAAATTAGATGATGTGACTGCCTTGTTGTGTGAGAATGAAAGGTTTATGGGATGAGAGAACTCATCACTTAGAGGAGATCTACTAGTTGTAAAAGGTTCTAATCGAGCGAGGACTCAAGAGACAATTAAGTGATAAATCAGAAGTCAGAGATTACAGTAATAAGGAGTGTTATTATTGTGGAGAGAAGAGACATATCCAACCACGCTGCAAAAAATTAAGGGAGGATATGCTTGCTTTCAAGAAAGCTCAACTTATGAAGGATTCGAAGGATGATGCTTGGGTTGCTGATAATGAACGTGAATTTTTAGTAACACGTCAAGATGAAACTCAAACTTCAAAGGGTGAAAAAGGTTGGGTTTTAGATTTTGTTATATATATGCATGTTTTTAATGATAAAGATTGTTTTGTTGAATTGTAAGAAGATGGAAATTACGGAAATATTGTTGTCGATAATAACAAGAAAGTGAAGATTGAATGCGTTGGTAGCGTTCGTCTCAAGCTTCATAATGGTGTTGTTAAGAAGCTTCGTCATGTGAGGTATGTACCAAGTTGTGGTCACAATTTGATTTCTTTGGATGAGTTTGCTTCTCGTGGGTATATCTACATTGGTCAAAGAGATGGATGCGAAGTGTATAAAGATGATGTTCTAATTTTGCAAGGCAAAAGGAATGAAAAACAACTATATTTGCTTGATAAAGGAGTGTGTTTTAAGAAATCAAGAAATAAAATTGTTCCAGTTCCTGTTGTGAAAGAAAAGAAGATTGTCAGCAGAGTAAGATTTTTAGATGCTACTGTGATGTTTGGGGATTCAAGTAAAGGGAGGAATTGTTGGGATAGTGCCTTGAATCCCATGTTGCTTAGGAATGGGAGTTGCAAGGGGACTCTCCCTTTTAAATAGACTAGTAGTTTGAGCTTTTGAATTTAAAATATCTCAAAAAGTGTAAGACAAACACCAAAAGAATAGTCATTATGGGTTGTTATTAAAGGTGTAATTAGGTTTTTTAGGATGGTGTAAGGAGTTTGCAATTTTTTCTTTTCTAAAAATTGTACAATTGTAAGCTTTTGCTTAGTGGATTATTTGAGTGGATAGTGGACGTAAACTAAATTGATTGGGTCGAACCACTTTAAAATTCTTGTGTTTTGATTTTCTTTATTTTTTAGTTATTTGCCTTAATTTTGCATTTGAGTTGTGAGAATCTTTTTCAACAATAACCTGAGTCAATTTTAAGAAACCTTAGATACATTAGTGATAAATGATGAAAATTGTGGGGATGATGATGGAAAACTATCATAATAATTCTAGAAGACAAACCTGGAGAAAGTCCACTATATTTACTACTAAGCCTCCGACAATGGGGTGAACATCAAGCCATTGATTTCCCTGAAACACTTGAACACCGCCCATTTGGCCTTGTAGAAGAATAGTAAGGAATGCAGGATCAGATTGTCTAGTAGTTCCCAAGGTCAGCTCCGACCGAGGGCATATGGATAGTAGTGAGACAAAATTATATCTTTCAGTGCATCCCATTCCCATGTCTTGTAAATGTTCAGGTGTCACAGTCCTAGACCAACCGATAACAATTCAAATAGAGTGTCCCCCAATCTTGTAACATTCTTTAAGCACTCCATTGTAGTATCTCTGCAAAACAAGTTTACATGTGGTAAGAGGAAAGATTAACCGTAGTTGCACAATGTAACATTGTTGAGTTGCACATAATTGAAGAGAGAGCAGGGGTAAACTAATGATGTCAAAACACATCAGAACAGATATCTAGAGACTCATAAATTCAACTCAATAAGATCGTATCTGACAAAAATAAAAAATTGCAGCATTGCTGGAGTGTACATTTTCTAGTTAAAAGAGAGTAAAGCTACACAATGGGAAAGACGTCTGCTAACCCCATTGGGACACCCAATTCCTCGACATATAAGTTACTTAAATAAAGTTATTTTGGACAGTATGTTAATCATCCAGATGCAACTTACAGACTTTAAAGCAGTTAGTCTCATCGTATTTTGACTATTTAATTCAACTGGTTCTGATGCAATGCTTAGGCTTTCCATAAAGTTGCAAATTTTCGTATGTAATTGTTCCAATAAATAGATATCATAATGCTGCCCAAAATTTAATTGAAAAACGTTTGGAGATGGTAGCTATACATTGGTATGTGCCTGCAAACTTCTGGTATTTTACTGGGATCAAAATCGTTGGAAGCTACATTAGAAATAGACAAACTGTCCCTCCAATTAGCTGTTCGTGATTGATGCAAAACTAAATTGCTGTAGATTCTAACTTTTCTCTTTTTATCATGAGAATAGAACTAATTATTCACCTCAAGGTCTTGCTCATGAAATTTTCGTACCCCATTTAGCACGTTTTCTAACATATCTAAGGGGATTCCATGATTTACAACTTGAAAAAAGCTCCATTTCTCAGATGCAATCCGAACCTCAACGATCTCCTCTAGCTTATTTTCTCTAATTCCATTAAGATCAACTACTGGGACTTAAAAGTTGGTCTGTTCACGAGTAGTCAACTCCTCAGCAAGCTCATCCGGTGGTCAAACGAAAACCCGAGGAATATTCACAACACAACCCCAACATCTACAACCCCTTTGACACCTGTTTTTGTCTCATCAAAAGCCTTGAGCGCTTTAGCTCGATCATAATCCATTGCAGTTTGAGGAGAAGATTTACCGGCATCCGAGATCTTCATTCTCTTTTTCACACAAGAACGTTGATGAGAATGAAGATGGAAATGATGCGGTTCGTTGACTTCAACTAGATATAAATGGTTAGAGTAGGTGTCCTAAAAGCCAATCAATTATTATAGAATTGACTATCTGTAGTAATGTTTATTGATCAATAAAAGATATTTTATTCTATATTGTGTAAATCATATTGTATATATTGATATATGTCCTTAGGATTGTAGAAATGTGACAAGAGTATCAAGTGTTTCAACTCTTGATAGTGAGAACCCTATGATCACATATGGTAACCATTCTAGAAATGTTCATAACCCCAGTATTATTCTGACCAAGGACACTGATAATACGGTAAGACTATCATAGTGTTGAACGACCATGTCGAAAGGCAGTGACTAATCTCACTTGTTAAGGTTATTTGTCAATAATCTGGTGTAACACATGGGTGTTTGCTATAGGTAAGTTTACTGGACTGGCCCACCAAAAGATTTCATATAAATGGTAACCCTAGTATCTATGGAATAAATCTTCTAACGAATGGTAGTGCATGTGATCCTTAGACTTAAAAACACTAGAGCGTCTTGTGCACCGATTGGTGTAGTTTGACACTAGTCTAACGCAGTTCTATTTAGAGCTGTCAATATGGTAGTGATTGACTACATCGAGGAGTGTATCGAGACTATGGCGGATCGACAAAGGATTCATCACTCCCGGTTACAGAAGAAGTTATCTCATTATGTAATTCAGTAAATGACAATGACACTAAAGCTGTGGCCACAGTGGGATTGAGTTGTTGCTCAATCCAATTTATTATTTTGGTCATTGGTCTAGTAACTGAATACAAACATATCGAGAGTAATTGAGGTTGACACTATTTCTGTACCTCAGTTTCGATGAGATGACAAATAATGAAAGGATTTGATTGCACAGTAACTATATCGTTGACAGGTAGCTATTTCACTGAATCTGAAACTATCAAGTGGCCACGATACCTTGTTAGGGGCCAATTTTGGTCTGTGTGTAATGAAACGATTAATTGGTGTTAATCGCAATACTACTCACTGTTGGTATGATGAGGAGCCTACAAGTCGTACACTTAAAAGATAATTTAAGAATCAGTTTGTGCAATGGGCATTTTCGTCTTTTAGGACGAAAGAGTATTTTGGTAATCTTACAGTACAATTAGATTTATTGAGGTTGTTGCCTAGATTTAATGTTAAATCAAATCAGTAAGATTATATTTAAATATATGTACGCATATGTTTAAATGAATTATTATTAATTAAATGTTAATACATTTTAAATGTATTAATTGATTTTAAGTATAATAATTAATTAAAAAAAAATACCAAAAGGAGAGTGTTTGGACACATGAATTAATTTGGGTTAGAGCTCAATCCTATACTTTGAAGGATTAGGGTATTGACATACGTGCTATATAAGTACATGTGTATTGAAGGAAATATGTGAATTCATTTTTATTCATTGAAGAGAAAAAGGCAGCCCTTTCTTTCTTTCTCTCCCTCACCTTTTCCTTTAGTGCTTGAAGCTAAAAGAGGATCTAGCAAATCTCTCTTTGGTTCCTCGGATTGTCTTCATGTCGATCACCATTCATTTGGTTCTACGTTGAATCGGTAGTGAAGTAGATTAAGAGACATTCGAAAGAGCCTCCAAATGTGCATAAGATCTCTAATCCTTGAATGGATCGTTTATATTTTCTGTAGAATTTTAGTTTAACATGTTAACTATATAATCTGTACCCGATCTTGTCATAAAAGAAATCGATTTATCCTTTTAATTTTTGTTTTTCTGCTGCATTGGATAGATCGATTCCTACCATAAATATTGTTAGATGCTTACTAATTAACAAGACAATTCATATCAATCAGTTATTATGAAATACATTGTCGCCGATCACCAAACTATGGATAGAAATTTTACAATATTTTCAATATCAATTCAGGTCTGGCATCCAGATTCTTAAACATTTCATGACCAAGCCAACCTCATTTATTTAAGGCTACCTTAGCAACTTGAAATGAGTAAGAGCAGAATTTCCATCAAGTCCTTTTGAATCATAGTAGGCAATAAAGTCTTGCAGTGTGGTCTCACGGTATACAGGAGGATTTTGTTCTGATAACAGTTCCTTGACTGGGCCATAAATCTTGGTCGATGGGTAAAAATGTAGTGTCAAAAAGCAAGCCACAGATACCCGGGGGCCTATATGATTTGCCAATACGCGATGTTCCACACTTCTGAACTTGTCATTAGATATAAGCTGCACCCACAAAAGAATCCTGTCAAGAGGTTTCACATAACAACTTGCTTTCCTCTGTTATTTAGTGGATTGGAAAGAGATGAACAAAATAAATGCAATGCCACTAAGATAAGACATTAAACTTCAGAGTACAAAATCCAGAAAATGAGATAATCCAAGAGTGTTTAAATTCATTTGGATTGTAAAACAGAACAACATTTTCAAAAAGGATTTAAATTTTCTTTTGTGTGTCAAGATTTCCAAACTTCTTAATGCATAAAACTAATGTTCAAAACTCAAGTCAATTCAACCAGCTACACAAGACATGCGATTTTAGCCCTTATAACCAACTTATAAACAATGCTCTCTCATCAAAATCATTGATATTCTAGTCCTTCACAAATTTTATATTGAAATGAGAATAGCCAGTGAATTTCAGATCAATCCATAACAGATTGGTAAGAGGCACACTAACTGTTGATATCCTTCTATCAGACTTGCCTGTAAAAGATCTCCAATGTTTATTACCAGAGCTCCAGGCACAGGAGGAACATCGATCCACTGATTTTGATGGAAAATCTGGAGTCCACCAATATGGTCCTGAAGTAGGATGGTGAGAAAATCAGGATCAGAGTGTTTGGTAGTGCCCATAGTAAGTTCAGGCTCTGGACATGCTGGGTAGTAGTGACTCAGAAGACAATGCCCTTTCGCACATTCTAAATTTAGTAGATGGTCGGGCTTCAGTCCAAGGGCTTCAGAGAGTAATTCAAGCAAACTAGTCCCTAATTTATGAACACGCCTAGAGTACTCCATTGTTATATCCCTGCATATTAGATACTCACAGTTAATACTAACCATTTGAGATGATTCAGTCCATTGATATAAATCAGCTCTCTACTCGTTTTACAATCACAAACAATAATCAAGGATCCGATAATTCGCGCATCTAATAGTTCATTGACAAAAATAGCTAACTATAGCTAACTTCCAAAATTTGGACATAAATAACCAAATTTAACATAGATCTCACTATTATGCTTTAACAAAATGCTAAATATGGTAAGATTACTACTAAATTGCTAAACATTTTAAGGTGAATCCATTCACATTTCACATGAACGTAATGCTAAAGCAGCTAATCGTCTCTAAAGTCCCAGTACTTCTCTGATAAAAAAGGGAACAAAAAAACACTTAAATAGATATATATACCTGCAAACAAGAGGCAGCTCTTCAGGATCAAGAGGCTGAGGCCCCATAACACAAAAAAGTGTATCCCTCCAATTAGCAGACTTTGACTCATACAAATCAAAGTTACTCACATACTTCACCTTCCTCTTCATCTCTCTACTATAATATTCCTCTTTCACTTCACTTGGAAGCTCGTGAAACGCACGTGCCCCCTCCAACATCTTCTCCAACACTTCCTTCGCTACACCATGATTAACCACCTGGAAGAACCCTACCTCCTCTGCCGCTCGCCGAACAAGAGATACCGCCTCATCTCGTCGGAACTCAAGATCACTAAGGTCGACCACTGGAATAGTGAATTGCGTTCCGGTTGTTTCCCCGGCGATATGGTCTTGTGAGCGGATGAAAAATCTAGGGAGTTTGGTGATGCCAATATCAACGAGGCCTTTGACGCCAGCCTTTGACTCGTCGAAGGCTTTGAGTTCTTGGTATAATCTGTCATCCGTTGGTGAAGATTCCTCAGTAAGTACCATTTTGGTCTGGTTTTTTGTTTTTCCTGTTGGGTGTTGCTTTAGGACACAATTCGGTTGTAACTGTGAGGCTTGGATAGAAAATCAGTTTGCATCCCACAGTTTCCTGTTGGGAATTATGCAGATTTTCATCAAAGTGTCCCCAATGGTTTCATAAATGCGTCAAACGAGTATCAAAACTGTGACGCTGTCTGAACTCCGTTAGGGTGTGAAGGTTAGAATCGTCTTTTCAAATTTTGTCTAATTTTTTTTTNCGTATCGTAAGATACATATCGCATATCGTAGGATATTAACAACCATGGTCATTAGTCATGGTTTTGGTACTCGTTTGACACATTTTTGAAACTATGGGGAGCACTTGGACGAAAATCTGCATAATTCCCCGCAAATAAGATTTATCAAAACTATTGTTAAATCTCAAGACTATTCAATCAAGGTAGAAAAAGAGACCCAAGATTTCTAATCTCAAAATCAACCACAACAATTAAAAATGAAAGCACGAAAAATAAAGCATAATAGTAAAGAAAAAGAACACAGAAATTTATAGTGGTTCAGTAATAAGATTGATTACCTACCGACATACAAGATAAACCCAAGATATTCCCCTCAGTAAAACCACCCGTACTCACCCTTGCCTCACCTTTCACACACTCACACTGAATTATGCCTGCAATCGAACCGAACACGAACGAACAGGCTCGTTCAAAACTCGTTCAAAACTCGTTCGATAAGCATGTTCGATAACACAGGATGTCTATTCGTGTTCGTTCGATTAACAAAAGGCTTGTTCGTGTTCGTTTGACTAACTCATTTGGAAATGTGGGTTTGGACTTTGGATTTTTAAAATTTGGGCTGGGAAAATGTGGGTTTGGACTTTGGATTTTCAATATATATAATTGTGTATGTACAAAATTATTATCATACATATATTAATCATAAATTAAATATGTTTAATATGTTATGAAATTATTAAAATTATAGGTTATCATATATTTATTATCATTACATAAATTATCATAAATATTTTAAATGTTTACATATATATTTTGTATCAACACCCATAAATTCATAGTGGAATGAAAATCTATTATAGAGTTGGGCATTTGGGACCGGGCCCAAAAGCCCAGCTCGAAAACCCGGTCCTAGGATCGGTCCTCGAGAGGACCGGACCTAGGAGGCCTGGTCCCAAAACAGGACCAGGCCTAAGGAGGAGGGTCCGGGCCCTCCACTGGGCCCTCCTCCAAGGCCCGGGTCCCAGGCCTGGGCCCAAAAAAATTTATATTTTTTCAATATAGTCCCCTATCAAATTACATAAAACCCCCTGTTAATTTGAAAATAAATATAAATTAAGAGGGCTAAAATGATATTTTACAAAATTTATAAAAAAAAAAAAATCTTCCAAGTCTAAAAAATTTATAAATTTTACCCCTAAAAAAATACTAAAAACCCCCCATAAAATTTCATTTTGCCCCCAAAATATAAAAAAATTTGAGGGGAAAAAAAATTAATTATCCAAGCCCCATAGGACCAGTCCCTACCAGGCCTAAGGCCTGGTCCGGGTCCTAATTTTTCTCATGGGCCTGGGACCGGTTCCAGGCCCATGAGTGACTGGTCTAGGCCTGGGCCTGCTTGGGATCGGTCCCTGCCCACCTCTAGTCTATTATAATAAATGATCAATACATAATTGTGATTAATTTGTTATATATATATATATATATATATATATATAATATTACTGTCTACATATATATTTTGTATCAATGCCTATAAATTCATAGTGGTATGATGGTTTATTGTAATATATGATCAATGCAAATGTGTGATTAATTTAAATGTGTGATTAATTTAGGTTTGATTAAGCTATTATGTTATTAAATTTGTTATACTATACATCACTTGATTATACAATGTGGTATGTTCATAAATTTGTCATATTCTATTTAATTAAGTTATTATATTATTAAATTTATCATTTTATATATCACTTAATTATACAATATGTTATGTTCATCAATTTATTATACTATATTTAACTAAGCTATTATATTATTAAATTTGTTATGTTATACATCACTTGATTATACAATATGTTATATTTATCAATTTCCCATACTATATTTATTATTTATTAATTGAAATGTTATCTTATAATATTCAATTATTGATTACATTTAGAAAAATATAAAGCTATTATGTTATTGGATTTACTATATTATATATCACTTGATTATACAATCTATTATGTTATTAAATTTGTCATGCTATGTACCGTAATAATTTATTACTTTTTAATTAAAATACTATATACTTATATATTTAATTATTGATGACATTTGGAAAAAAAATCCAAACATATTATATATATAAGAAAAATAAAACTATCATAATATTTTATTATTGATTACCATTAAAAAAAAATTCATCCAAACTAAATCAAACATAATATAAAAATAAAAAAAAATATAATTATAATAATGCATACCATGTTTTTCGAACATAAACGAATGAACAATCGAACGATTGTTCGCGAACGGATGGATCAGTTGAACGTATAATATTCACGAACATAATCGAATGAATAACCCATGTTCGAACTTGATCGAACATATTATCGAACGAATATCAAACTATCTGTAAACATTATCGAATAGTTATTGAACAAACAACGAGTTGTTCGCGAACTGTTGGGTTCGTTTGCAGCCCTACACTAAATACAACAAATCATTCCCATATATAAAGGAAAAACAAGAGAACAAACCATGTGACGAATCCTCACCAAGGCCGTTGGATTCATCTTGTGATTTCTAGAGCTCCACGTCAATCTCTATATCAACAACTTTTCTCTCTCTGTGACCAAATGAGAAGAGTCCAGTGGTTTTCGCCCTTTCCTTCTATTGAGCATCTTGACTCCACATATGTTAAAAAGTCCAAATCAGATGCCACATCAGCACAATTATGGGCAGAAAAGTAATATTCTCTGATGAGGCTTGTAGTGTGCTGTTATGGACCTGAGGACATAGTTTTATCTACGTGTAAGCATTACATCCTTATGTCTTTGCATGCTTTTGTTTTGTTTTTATTTATAAAATTTTTAGAGAAACGTTTGAGATAAACTTATAAGAATTACCAGAATTCACTGATATATTTTATCCTAATCGTTTACCATCATGACTGGAATCTGTAAACGAGCAATCCAATGCATTGACTCATAATCAATAGTCTTCAACCATTTGTGTGTTCTTATAAGTTTCTCCCTAAACTTTCTAATTAAACAGATGGGATGAAATGTTTCAAACATTTTCATTCTAATCGTCAATTGTTCAAATAAAGAAATCTGGGTTCCTGAATTTTAATCTTGACGTTTCAATGAATTTTAATTTGTGCTCCCTTGTGGATAAATTGAATATTCTTTGTGTTTAATTTATAAATAAATCTTGATGTCTAGAGTTCACGCATTAACTTTCAGCTGCTAGGAAAATTGAATGTAACAGGTAACTCAGATCTGAAAACAATAATACACCTTATTTGAGTAGCACGGTTCCGTTTTTGTCCGGAAAATAAAGGAAGTGACATTATCACACGGTAAGGTAGTGAATGACACGTAACTCATTAGTGTTTCGGTGTTTATTTGTCCGGGATGATGATGACAAAATGGTGGTTCTGTTTTCTTGTTTCTTTCCTTCTATCTTCTTTTAACTCATTGAAACACAAAAAATAGCTTCTATCACTATACAAAAGCCATATACACCGACACAGTTTCAATTGAACTCCTAAAAGAAAATGGTGATCACAAGCTCAGGAAAAATTCAAGCACAGAGGGATTCCAAATATCACCGGGAGAGTGAATTGAAAGCATTTGATGACTCAAAAATAGGTGTCAAAGGACTTGTAGATTCTGGAGTTGCCACCGTCCCACAGATGTTCATCCACCAGCAAGAGAAGCGTCATAACAATTGTGGTTCCAGTGACAGTGAGTTCAGTATTCCTATTATAGATTTTCAAGGCATCGACAAAGATGCAAGTGTGCGCTGTGAAATAGTAGACAGAGTTGGAAATGCTTGTGAGAAATGGGGTTTCTTTCAGGTGATCAATCATGGCATTCCCTTAAACATCTTGGAGGACATGGTTTGTGCTGTACGTAGATTTCACGAGCAAGACACAAGGGTGAAGAAAGAGTTCTATTCACGAGATGAAAAGAAAGCGGTCACCTATAATACCAATTTTGATCTCCATCAAGCATCAGCAGCTAATTGGAGAGATTCATTGTATTGTCTCATGGCTCCTCGCACACCAAATCCTGAAGAATTGCCTGCAGTTTGTAGGTACACATACTGATCGAGTCCTGATTTGATTTAAACATGCCAATCTAGCAAATTTTCTTCAGAATTAACTCATTATATGAATTATAAATTTATCATTTTGCAGAGATACAATGATCGACTACTCAAATGAAGTAACGAAATTTGGAATTACCCTCTTCAGATTGATGTCAGAAGCTCTTGGGCTTGATTGCAACCACCTTGAAGAAATGGGTTGTGCAGAAGGACTTTATATTTTAGGTCATTACTACCCAGTTTGCCCCCAACCAGAGTTGACCTTGGGCTTTACAAAGCATACTGATAGTTCCTTCCTCACGGTGGTTCTACAAGATCAAAGCGGTGGCCTTCAAGTTTTCCATCAGGATCGGTGGGTTGATGTTAGCCCCCTCCCCGGAGCTCTGATAGTTAACATTGGAGATATGTTACAGGCAAGTCTACTTAGCATTAAATTTGATCTAGCATCTGTTATTGTTGGACATCTCTGGACATTGAAGATATGCTTTTTGTTTTGTTAGTCTGATTCATTCATGAGTTGCACAATGCATTGGCCAAATAACATTGTCTGATTAGCTTTTTATAATTTCTACACAGTTAATCACCAATGACAAGTTCAAAAGTGTCTACCACAGAGTAATGGCCACAAATTTAGGTCCAAGAATCTCAGTGGCAAGTCTCTTCAGAACACATTTGCAAGAAGGGAATGAGCATAGATTGTATGGTCCAATAAAAGAGTTGCTATCAGAAGAGAATCCCCCAATTTACAGGGAAACGTCTGTTGAGGATTATGTTGCATACATCTACTCAAAAGGACTTGACGGAACCTGTGGACTGGAAAAATTTAAGCTTTGAATTCAAATGTAATCTGAGATGCATCCATAAGTTGTAGTT